TTTTGTCAATTGAGGGGATTTTAAGCAAAACAATTTTTAAGAAACTATTATTATTCATAAAAAACTCAATTTTTGAAGGTATTTTCAATTCAGTCTAGCTCACGTAAATCGTAATATTTTTCCGAAATATTTTGGTGGACGTCTTAAAATATAATAGATTTTATAATTCCAATGGAAACAGAGTACCGATTTTCTTTTTTTGTTTTTGTATGAGAAGTGATGCAGTCTAATGTACATACATACATATATACATATGTATGGTCAAGTGTTATAGAGTTGTGCACTCATTTTTTGCTTCACGTGAACTTTTAACTAAATACAAGCAGCAGTTGCCATGTTTTTAATCCACACATTTGCACAGTGCAATTATATGCTTCTACATATACAAACATGTCAATGTACATATACGGGTATGTACATACTACATATATGCATGCAAATGTATTGGTACGCCAAAATGTTACTGCCTATGCATGAAAAATTTTAATTAATTTAAAATGTACGTACTGAATATGAAAAACTCGCAAACAAATGTACATTTATTAAGTGTCAGAATGCTAAAGCGAAGTTGGAATTACTAAAACAATGCTTTTTCTGCATTGCTCCTGCTCATATGTTCATACTAGGGATGTTGAGAATATTTGCATTCGCATTCGTTATGCGAATGATTCGCATCATTTTACACATTCGCATTCGACATTCGCATTCGCATCAAATGTTACCAATGTTTTGCGAATGCCAATGTCGGTTCGGATGTAGACTCTGGAAACATTAAGAAATGTGAAATAAAAACTCAATTGAAGGTTTATCTTAAAGAAAAACGAAATCTCGGTGAAAATCCTCTCGATTGGTGGAAAACTAAACTAAAGTTTAAGTACTAAAAACGATGACTGAACTTTATTATAGATTATAGCAATCAAAGTCTTAATCATTCATGACAAAATTTTGATGTGGCGAAATTATGATCAGAACCTATGGTAATAACTCAACATCTTCACCTTAGCATCATCATTGTTGTTATTACCATACTTCTGCGCTTTTTACACGCTAGCCAGTCAAATTTTGTTACGAGTCTTCTTGTTTTGGCGTTTTAGTACTCAGAAAGAGTCAAGTTAAATGGATAAACAATTGGAGACCAGACAATTTTTACTAAATTTTCCAATCCCAAAAGCTTTAGAATACCGTTACATTTATTTCGCAATCTTCTCTCGTTCTCGAGATTTTAAATTTGGTGGCAACGAAAGTTCAGTTTCCATACTGTCCGTCTTACGTGAACGCCGTTTAACGTGAAAACAGTTTTATTTTTATACCTTTCATGAGCATGAAATGGTATTATAACTTTGGTCCGATGTTTGTAAGTACCAGAACAAAAAGAGATAGAAGAGTCTCTCAGTTTTCGAGATATCCGTATCAAATTTGGTAGGTGGGTGTATTTTTATAATGTATTAATCATTTGTCGGAACCGAAAGAATCGGACCACTATAACATATAGCTCCCATACAACTGATTGTTCAGATATGAGATTTTTCGTTATAATTCATCCATTTATGTAGCTAGGACCATGAAATTTCGCGCTGTTTTCACTCATTATCAGCAGAAGACTTACAGTGAAAATAACGAAGATCGGGTCACTATAACCTGCAGCCCCCATACAACTGATTGTTCAGATATGAGGTCTTTTATCATAACTCCTCCATTTATGCAGCTAGGAACATGAAATTTCGCACCATTTTCACTCATTATTAACAGAATACTTACAGTGAAAATAACAAGGATCGGATGACTACAACATATATCTTCCATACATCTGATTGTTCAGATATGGGATTTTACTGTAAAACTCCTTTATTTGAATAGCTAAAACCGATAAATTTCGTAAGATATTTTATAAATAATAATACAAAGTCTACTGAGAAAATCATCAAAATCTATGCTGTATAAGCTTTATCTCCTATAGCACTGATTGTTCAGATACCAGTTTTTGCCATATATCTCCTTTATGTAGGAAACTAAACCCAATAAATTGTGTTACCGGTTTACATACCGATCACATAGCAGTGAAAATCACTTAGATTGGTGCCATATAAAGTATATCTTCCATACCTCTGATTATTTAGATGCGATTTTTTATATAAGTATGTAACTTCTCTATCGATGTATGCAGATGTATTCAAAAGCAGTAATCTGTCAAAGTCAAATTTGCAGATGTTCATGAAAAGTATGAAGCGTTCGGCATAGCCGAAGACAGCGCTGCTCATACTTGTTTTTAATAATTGACTACTCTGTAAAGTGAATAAAAAAATTAGTTACTTTGTCTATAAAAGGGATATATGAATATGAAAAATTTAACTTCTTCTGATTTTGGGGAATCCCCTCATATATTTAAATTTGTTTACAAATGATCTATCCTTTTATGCCACCGAACTGAGTTAGCCGTTCTTTTTCGCTCTCGCGGGGTATCCATGCCAATCAGTGCAAGTTTTTAAGAGGAAAAAGGCGGTGAAAGCGCCAATAATGTACTTGATGAAAATCAGTAAAAAGTAACTCCTCAGCGGTAATATTGCACAAGCCGTAAACGGAGTTCATCTTGATTTTTTGGTTTTAATTAGTTCACCTTATTGCGAGCGTACTGGATATGCAAATGTATCTATTTGAGGCTGATTTTTAGGCAAAATGTGGTCGAACTGAATAAAAAACAGAAGTAATTAAGAGGGCAGAGAACATACATATACATATATGTACATATTTATTTATATATAGGCGCATTAAGTAGTGCTTTCACCGGACACTTTGTGCTCTTTTTTAAGCACCCTCACAATTTCCAATATTTAGTAACGGTGAAAGCAACATCTGATCCTTTAATTGATTTCGAGTGAAGAAAAGTGTTCAACTACTTTCTCATCTATCTCAAGTGCGTGTGTGATACATAACAACAACAACGACAACGATCAATGAAAGCAATCTGCTATAGAAAAAGCTCCGTGCCAAGAAACTTGTTGAAGCTTATAAAGCAAAAACAAAAAAGCATCGAAGTATGTATGTAAATACATACATATGTAGGTGTATGCGAATTGAAAAGTTTCTACTATGTAGTCTTACAAAACCCACAGGTCGGAAAGAAAGTTCTCAAGTTAAAACTCAAACAAAAAATTTGTTAGCACGAATAGTTGATTGGGTTTCTTATTGGGTGGCGTGCGTGCCATCCACATTGGGGCGTATGGAATGGAGCAGGCGTCGCGTGGCGTGGCGTGTGTGTGCATCGATGATTCTCTCTGTGGTTATCCTACGTGCTAATAGCCAAGCGCTGTGTATTAACCGCGGCTGCATCAACACCTAATGTGTAAAAGAGGAGAGGGGGAAAACGATAAGAAAAAGGTAGAAATAAATCACTCTCCCTATAATGGTTTCTTGTTCAATAAAGTGAGAATCGAGTATCCGGCTGCGTGTCTTTCTCGATTGTGGATTTCTTTCTTGGCTATTCGTTTTCTAATGTGGTTTTGTATTTGAACGCTGGACCAAAGAAAATTACACAATTGCGCGTAAAGGATTGAGAGGCTATAAAATAAATGGAAATTCTATACAAATACGTCAATTGCGGAAAAATTATTACAGATGCTAAATGGAAAAGCTAATTTAAATTTATAGATATAATACATATCGGCGCCACCTCGCCACCGTGTAAGAGGCTGATAAATTTTAAATGATTTAAATTGAGTGGTGCAACCGGGGCATGAGTCACATGGTTTTCGTTGGGGTGTAAACTATATTTTCGTAAAAAAATAAAAAATAAATGGTCAAAACTTCTGAAGAAGTGGTGTCACTAATCGTGTGGTCACCACTGTATATCTATACATATCGTCGTTTAAAAACCGCGTATCAATGCTCCATCATCACCTGCTGAGTAAATTTTTCAAGACTTAAACTTTTGTTAATACGAGGGATGTTTCCAAAGTTCTGGGAACTTATAGGCAGTGTTTTTGGTGCCAGACAAGTCCAGACATGTTTATCCAATTATCTAGTGCAATATTGTTCAGTCTGATTTAGGTGTTCGACAGATATAGACGCGATTTCATAGCACTGTTTCTGTAGCCATGGAAGATGCAGCAAAATCTCGAAAAACAGTTATTTTCTTTATATTCTTTATATTATTCAGCGGACCTCTGCGACAGGCACTTGTCAAAAAACGGCCTGAAAAGTTGCATAAGCGTCCGTTATTGTAACAGGATAATGCAAGACCACACACCGCCAGAAAAACGAAGACTGTTTTGAACTATCTACGATGGGTGTTGCTTCCGCACTCGCCTTATTCCCCCCATTTCTGGCACCCCAGTTATTATCAGCTATTCCCAGATTTGAAAAAACTCGCGATTTAAACGTTTAACTAATGCAAAACGTGCGATGAATAGGTAGATTGAGGAGACATCGAAAAAGTTAAATGGAGATTATGTTGGAACATTGGAAGCATTTGTAAATAGGAAAAAAAACATTTTAGCAAGTTTTGGGTACACTCTTTGTTCAAAAAATTGTTATTATTTTTTGTATTAAAATTTAGCTTACTATCTAAAAAAAAACAAAAAAAATGCAAATCAAAATTTCAAACTTTGCAGAACATTTATAAAAATTCGACGAGTTTTGTAGGCTATTAAATTTTAATATAATAAATTGCAATTTTGAAGTACTTAGCTAAGATTTTTGACAATACGACATTTTTTTTATGCCAAAAATTAGCAACAGCTTCTACAAACAAAAAAATCCCAAAAATCAACGGTAAGTCCAATGGCCTACAATTTTTTCAAAGAACTCTATTTAAAAAGCTCAAAATTTTGATGAAACTTTGTCGAATTTCGCTAATTTTTTTTGCAAGGTTTGAAATTTTGACTTACATGTCATGCATTCTTAACCAACATTTGTACGTAATATGAACCTACACTCCAATTTGTCGCATTAAAGTCGCAAACCTAATTTCAACTTTCGCTTTTATATCCTCTACATATTCACAGGCCACTCCTACAAAAGCATCAACGATGAAATTATTTGGGTGAGCATCGGCATGGGCGTCACCATAATTGTCCTAATCACAATCGCACTCTGCTACATTGCTTACGAGAAATGCCACAAGAAACGCGAATATTACATTAATGCATAACGTGGCATGCCACACTGCGTGCCAAACACCTTCGAAACGTTGAATTTCAAAAGCAACTTGCAGCTATTAACGCCAACCAACGCCAGCAGCAGCACCGCCACCACCGCCACCACCACCACCACCACCACCAAACAGTGCAACACGGGCCTCGCTCGTAACACATGCAATAGCAGCGAAGTTGCAACAACGTAACCAAAAACTATGTAACGTATTTGCCAAGCATAAGTGAGTGTGGTAACGGTACATTGCTATGGCAATAAGTGCAGAAAGTAGAATAAGTAGCGGAAGCGGAAAGTTAAAACAAGGTAGCGCAAAAAAAAGAACATGAAATGTATATGTAGAGGCAGAAGAGGGGAAGGGGGAAAAACTAAAGGAACGTGCAGTTACATGCTTTGCGAATTCTAACCGCAACAGGAAAAACTTCGAATGGCGTGGGAGAAGCTGCCTACCACCACCAACCATCGGAAACAAACCGCCTTCAAACAAAAAAAACGGAATAAAAAATTTTCGCTGCAATTTTCTTTTTATGGGCAAATGTATGTATGTATGCATATATGTATGTATGCATGTATGTATGTATACAGTATATGCGAATATCTACAAGTAAATACCGCAGATTTCTATGTAGCATACCGAACTTATGTACATTTTGCACAACGAAATAGAGCAGCGCCCGACGACCCAGTAAATCGTAATGAGCTAAACAAAAAAGCGCAGAATCGCACACGAAATTGCATTTTAAACACAGTGTTGCAAAATGAGGGAAGCATTACATTTTGCAACCGTTACAGTAATGACAACAATGACACTGGCGATTTGTTGACGATGCTGCCCTTTTGGCCATCATGAAGGATTTCCAACAGGATGCAAGCAGCGCGCATCAACTCTCCTCTCCGGCAACACACAAAACGGAAGCGAATCGGCGAAGTCCCAATAAAATAAAAATGAGCACACACATACATGGCATACATACACTTAAAAGAACTTATGTTGCATATTTAGTATAATGCAAACACACATATACATACATACATACATACATACATACATACGTAAATGCGTATAAACATTTCTAACTGTACGATGTATGTATGTAGTTTGAGTTGGATATTATACGAAACTAATAATGGGAAAAAATTTAATAATGTAAGTATGTATGTTTACATATACCCGTATTTATTACATTCGAATCTAATGGCATGATGTTTACCTAGGACGTATGGGCAAATCTCCGGAACCGTGCGACTCAACGCTAAAAAAAAAACGTAAATTTTTAAATTGAACGCACGAAAATAAATTATACCACAAATTGTTCGAAATCCATTGAGGAAACATTAAATTCTTGTGTGGTTCATTTTTCTCAAATGCTTAAAGAGTAGAAAACTAAAATTTTTGAAAACTCAAGGTTAGCGATATTTCTAGAGGGCGTGGTTTTTGTCCGATTTCAAAAATTTTCAAGACAGTATTTAAGAGGGTCAGGTGAAGTGGTTTTCGAGATACAAATATTTGACATTCTAAAAAATTCTACGAAAAACTAATTTTCACTTAAGATCCATTGAAAACATAATTTTTGAGTACCGCACTGCCCAAATATCTGAAAATCCTTTACATACACACATACAATATAAATTCATGGCCGTATTTTAGACAAACATGATTTTGTGTATTTAGCATTTTCAATGAACTTTACGAAGAATTTTATCTAAAGATCACGCTTAATGCCAACCTTCTATGTTTTAGTCTGTCAGTGTGCTATCAAAAAAATCTGAAATTTGAAGCCATCAACGCAAAGATCTATTCAAACAATATTTGTTATATTTTCAATATTTTGAAAGGCATACAACCGTAAACGCCCAATACATTTTCCAATATCACATATACTATTTCCCATGATTTTTGAAAGTCTCTGTTTTGCGCTGAAAAAGTTATACTCAAAAAACTTACAAAAGGTACCCAAAGTGACACGTCAAAATTTTTATTTTAATTATGACATTATCAAAATAAAAAGAATTAAATAAGTTACAAGAACTCATCACATTTGTTATCAAAAAAAAAAAGTTTTTTATAAAAATTAAAATTACATTAATAAAATTAATTTGAAGATGAGAGACAGAAAAGCACACGTTTCCGGAGACTTGCCCATATACAACTTACATATATTAATAAACTTATGTGTCAACGATGTCATTTTAAAGAATTTATAAAAGTAGATTTACTTTAGCCAAACGATGATACTAAAAGGTGACTTTACAAGGAAAATATAAATGATCCCACATCTAAAAAAAAAGCTTTAAATAATTATAGGTAAGGCCTTTGGAAATTGGATTGAACAAAAATTACTTTATAATAATTACATGAATACCCAAATATTATATGTATACATATTAAAAGCTGAAAATATTACTTTAAAAGTTGGATACTTTAATCGAATTTTAGTAGTGAAAGTAGAAATATATTATAATATTTATGTATACGTAGTATATTATAGTTTTTATTGTGTAGCCATATATACATATACATACATACATATATGTACCTATGCTATACATATGGAAAAATTAGTGAAACCTAAGCATTAGGGAACGAACAGAAAAATCTTTTTAACCATGACCTTACTTAATACTCCTACATACATATATATTCTTCAATGATATTATTTTGTAAAGTGTATACCTAAGTACTTAAATACATTATTATTATTATTATTATTATTAGTACGTCGGGTATACTCGCGCTGCGACCTAAAAGATCTATTGTGCTAAACCCTGATTGTGGTCACTCCAACCTTAGGCTATTCAAGAAATTAAGCACATTGGAGGGTGCCGTGTTCCAAATCTTGGATGGAGAAGACAATCGTTCCCCAAGGTGCATCAGTCTGCTATTCATGATACGCGGGCAGTCACACAGAATGTGCTCCGAGGTTTCCTCCGCCAGCCCACAGAACCTGCAGTCCGTCTCTACAGAAAGCCCCATTTTGTTTAGATGGTACCTTAACTTGCAGTGTCCTGTCAGGTAGCCTGTAATAGTCCTAA